GTTTCAAAAACGTCCAGCCTGGTGGCTTACACTGGTTCTTGGACATGAAGAGCAGCCCGGGCTTGATTTGTCTCGGGGTGGTCAGGAGGCTGCTGAAGTGCCACCCTGCACCGTTCGTCTCAGCATGCAGCCCCTCACAACCTAGCCTGGGCCCAGCCTCATCCTGGGCACTGAGAACAAACACGAAGCCAACCGTGTGTCTGTTTCCCAGGAACTCAGTCTTGTGGGAAGTGGAGACCATCAATGCACTGATGATAACACCATGTGATCAGTGCTGTGATGGACGGAAACTCGGGGCGCTAGTAGGCAGAGCCTCCAACAGCCTGGGGGTGAAAGGAATGCTTCCAGAGTCTTAAAGATGAAGGTCATTGCACATAAAAGATAGAAGGACATTCCAGAGAAACCAACATCACAAAAACATGACAGTAAGAAATAGCCTGGTCGTTTTTGTTATTTTTGTGGCAGTGGTACAAAGACTATAAGTGTTTTGTTCCCTGTTGTAGAAGCCCGAGTTAGCAACAAGATGGAGCTAAAAATGGAGGCAGGGACTGTATCACGGGGGTGGGGAGACTTATATGTTGGGCAAAAAATGTTGGCCTTTCCCCTTTAGACAGCGGGGAGGGCTGATTTATAAACTGTAACACAATCACCACTCCTCAAGCCTGGAGGGGGGCATCAGCTGAGAATAGTTTCCACTCTGGGTCCCCAGCAGGTGCAAGTCTTCTCAGTGACTCTCTCCCTCCTAGAGCAGCAGAGAAGGGAGGAGGTAGGAGGGCAGGCCCCATCCCCACCCCCTCGCCAGGCCTGCCTCCTGCAGCTGTTTTATGCCATGAATACCCCTAGAGAGCCTCACAACCAGCTCCCTGGGTCTAAAAGAATGCCAGCAGAAGCAGCCTGTTTTAAAAGCTAGACTCCTTCACAGGCCAACATTGCCACTTAGAAGAAAATAATTATCTAATTATAAAATCGGGACCCATAAAAATCTTTTTAAACAAACATTTATCATTCTATGGTAAGAGCTACTACTATTTAATCCTTTTAACAACCCTGGAAGGAATTGTTATCCCCATCTAAAAGGTGACAAAACCAAGACCCAGAAGGCTGGGTAACTTGCCTAAGGCCACGGAGCCAATAAAGGGCAAACCCCAGGTCGGAACACGGTTAAGACCTTTAGACCTAAGAACCACCAAGAATCCAGTGCCTGCCCCCGCCCCCCGCAAGCCTAATGTAGAATTCAGATTAAAGAGACCAAAACTGCAAAACAAACATTAGGAAGCCAAAAATGTTTGCATTCCCCCCCTCAAAATGATTACTTGGGCTTTTTAAAAATGTAAAATTTTTGAAAATTTCTATTTTCTCATTCTTTGTTAGGCACGCTAAACACTCATGCTTCGTATGCCTTTGCCTCATCCAGAGCTGCAGGCACTGTAGGACTTAAAGTCTAAGCATTTTCCTTCTGCCCTCTCACAAAAATTTTTAAGCAATTACATAAAACATTAACAAATTAAAGTGTAATGTACTTCTAAATTTTAAAAAATTACCAAACACCTCAAAAAAAGTTGTTTTGTCCCCATCTTGGCTCCAAGTCAATATGAATGGCTCCCCCTGTCCACCCAGGTGCCCAGGCTAGAACTGTTCTTTAAAAAAAAAAAAAAATTAAATTTTTACAAGAGTTTACGCCAAACTGACAACATATGCTGGGGAGCAAGATCTCAAATACTCTTGAAATCTGCCTATTTTTTAACCCCATGCTTGACTCCACCCTCTTCCTCCCCCTACACAACTCTCCCACTAGGAGGTCTCTCTTCCATATGTGATTATTTCATTCTCCTGCTCAAAATCCTTCAGTATTGCTGCTTGACTCAGAAGACAAAACCCAAATCACTAGACCCCCATCCTTCCCATCCCTCTCTGGGACTCTTCCTTTCTTGTCTCACAGCACACAGCATTGCACTGAAACTTGAGTGAGAACACTAATGAGAACACAAACCACTAGTCAATTATCAAACTCCTTCATTAGACCACCCACCTCAAGCCTGGCAGGGAGGGAACACATGGGAAATAACTGGTAATAATGATTCCAATGCCCACTGGTCAGAAGACACAGCAGTCATACCGCTTGCTGTGACAAGAATCTGATAACCCACTCTTAAACCTTGTCCCGAAGGTTGAACAAAAGTGAGAAACTCAGCCATGCTGGCCATTATCAACCCATTCCTTCCCACAGCAACCTGGATACCAAATGGCCTTAGACCTCTCTGACAGTAAATTATTACTCTTTGCATTTTAATAACTTTTGTAAAAGACAACATTTTGACACTGTTAATGCTTATTCTGTTGTTCTCAGCCCTATCTCAGTATGTGATCCACAGCAGGCACCAGAGGTCCATAAAAACAGCCCCCAAAATCAAGTTAATCTAATTTTTCAAAATTATAAAACCCATTACTTAATTGAAAAGATGTGAATTTTTTAAAAAACCAAACTGTGTTCACTATTTCATTTTTAGTGATACAGCAAATAAAATCATCATAGAATAATTAATTACCTTTTAACAGATCTTTCAAAAGCTCTGAAAGTCATCTGAAAAACAGCTACATGATGCTTTCCCCTTCCATCTTGCATTTAGTCTACACATGCAATCCACACTCTAAACCTATACTACTTGGCTTTGTATTAATGAGCTTTGTTCCTAAGTCTAAAATGAACCAATGAGTATTTATTATGGCCCTGGCAGATGTGGCTCAGTGGATTGAGTGCTGGCCTGTGAACCAAAGGTTGCTGGTTCAATTCCCAATCAGGGCACATGCCTGGGTTGTAGGCCAAGTCCCCAGTGGGGGGCCCATGAGAGGCAAAACCACACATTGATGTTTCTTTCCATTTCTCCTTCCCTTCTCTTCTCTAAAAACAAAAATCTTTACAAAAAAATATCATGTGAAAAGTTACAATAATGCAAGAGAGACTTTGGTAGCATGGATTCCTCAGCCAAATGACTTGACATGTCCAACATAAACAGCCTTTAAAGCACTTAGGAAGGACAGGGTCTCAGTGTGGCTCTAAAGATATATGTATCCAGTATATATAGTGGTTGCAACAAAATAACTTTAATTCAATAGATATTTACCTGATGCTTAAAAGGAAAATTCCCATTGAAATCTTTAAATTTACACTCTTCTCTCTCTACTCAACAGATGGAAGTCCAATAATAATTTCAAGTGTGCTGTTAAATTTGGTAAATGAGAACATTCAGCAAATCAGATGCTCTATCTTTGGCAGATTTGCAAAGTTAACCCTGCTCTTAACAGGAAATGCTGGTAGAAATTAGTTACTATATTTTTTGTTCCCCAACAGGTGTAGATTTCTGTTGGCTTTTCACTCTATACAAGTCAGTCATCACTCCCTTGTACATGTCCTATTTGACAGACTGCCTAAACTAAATGTGCTTCCATTTGTCAAATACTAAGTAATGTATTAGGGGTAGAAACCTATTCTTTCATTCATTGTTTGTTGCTGTTGTTTTCAGCCTACTGCTACTTGTCTAACAGACCAAAAATAAATCTGATAAAGTCAAACTTTGGAAAAGATGTGATTCTTAAAAGAAGGTTAAACAACATTATTGGGCCAAAGAACGCTGGTAAGGTGGTAAAGGGTAGTGAGAGGTTTCTTTTGCTATGTTCCAAACTGCATTTCAAGAGAATATAGTATTTTTTTAAAGGCTTTATTTATTTTTAGATAGGGGAAGGGAAAGAAACATCAATATGTGGTTGCCTCTTGCGTGTCCCCGCAATGGGGACCTGGCCCACAACCCAGGCATGTGTCTTAGACTGGGAATTGAACCAGCGACCCTTAGGTTTGCAGGCCAGTGCTCAACCCACTGAGCCACACCAGCCAGGGCTTTTTTATAGCCAAAAATTTCAGATCTTGTATTTAAAAAATTTTAAATGTCAGTTTTTAAAAACACTGTAGTTAAGTACAAAGAAAATTTACCATCTTAACCATCTGTAGTGTACGGTTCAGTAGTATTAAGAATATTCATCTTTTTTGTGCAAGTAATCTATAGAAGTTTTTCATCTTGCAAAATTGACATGCCATTCCCATTAAAAAACTCCCCATTTCTCCCTCCCCTTAGACCATGGCATCCACCATTCTGTTTCTGAGTTTAGATACCTCATCGAAGTGGAATCATACAACATTTACCTTTTTGTGACTGGCCTCTTTCACTTAGTGTAATGTCTTCAAGGTTCATCCATGGTACAGCATATATCAGAATTTCCTTCCTTTTAAGGCCACATAACATTGTTGTATATTTTGGCTATTGGGATTGCCTCTATGAGCACAGGTGTATAAATATGTCAGAGACTCTGCTGCCTATTTTTTCAAACATATACCCAGATGTGGAATTGCCCGATCATATGTTAACTGTTTCATTTTTTAGGAACCATCATATTGTTTTCCACAGTGACTGCACCATTGTACACTCCCACCAACCATGTATAAGGTTTTAATTTCTATATGTCCTTGCAAACACGTTCTTTTTTTTAAAAAATAGCCATCCTAAAAAGGGTAAGATAATTACCTCATTGTGGTTTTGATTTGCATTTCCCTGATGACTAGTGATGTTGAACATCTTTTCATGTGCTTGCTGGCCTGCTATTTATTTGAAACACGACAAAAGCTGTATTTTTTAAATGAACGCACTTTTTTAGAACTTATCTGCTCTTGGGAAAGTCCCTCTCCTCTATCAACTGGAGAAACTGGTGGACTATGTTCACAAACCATCCACACAGAAAGCCTTCCTTCGAACAGTTGCAAAACTGGAAGCCCAAAAATCTGTAGGTGGCGCCAGAAATAACAGTCCTGTTATCACCAAGAAAATGACAAGCTCGCCCCCTAATGATAAATTAGGAGAATAGAAAAGGCAAATGTAAAGAAAAGGCACAACCACTGAACATAATCTCTACCCAACCCAGAATCTGGAGAGAACACACTAATAACAAACTAATCAATCAAAATAGTTTATTCACAGGGACGGTTAAAAGGGTTCAGTTCCGGGGGACAAAATGTGCCACAAAGCCCGTACTTGCAAATCCCTACCTGAATAACCTGCTCCCTCAGCGTGATGAGCAGCACCAAGTAAGTGGGCTGGGGATGCTAGCCCACTGTGAACGTCTCCACTGAGGGAGAGCCTGTTTCATCCTCCTTAGCAACCCTGAAGTGTATCCACCTTTAACCTTTCTGATCTCTGAATTTACTGAAAAATGTGACTCTAAAGGCAAAAGCCCACGCCAAGATTATATAAACCAGAGGGTGGCAGTCATGACTATTCTTAGTTCCTTAAACCCTCTATTATGTAAATCAAGATACTTGCTGATTTTCAAGCCCCTCTCCCCCAACTAAAATAATAATCATGATGATGATGTCTGATTCCTTCAGGCTCTGTAGCTGCTAATTTATTCAATTTCCTGCTCTTTGTCTCTCCTTCCCACCCCCAATCTCTATAGCTCTCTAGTTTGCTGTTTTTCACAGAACTATAAGAATTTGAGATCTAAGACCCCATTAATATGGGTCTCTTCAGAGAACACATCAGTTAAAGAAATAAACACTTCAGGCTATATCCCAGTAGGTGACAATGTAATCATATACCTGGGTTACAGGTACAAGTAACCAGGGCTACTAATACCAAGTCCCAAGTCTTTCTGCTCCAGCAGGTTGACCCCCCAGGGCTGCATCAGGAATAGGAGGGGCCAGTCTCTGTTGCACAGCAGGGTGGGCCACACTACCCAAATGTTAAAGGTTGGACGTTTTTCTGTTGTTCTTTGTGCAGCTTCAGGGCCCGATTTTTGAGCATCTCGGCTTTGGCTTCATCCTTCTCCACACCGTCCCCCAGCTTGTACATGCGGCTGGCATTAGCACAGGCCCAGATATGACCTAGGTCACAGGCTTTCAATGAATATTGGCATGCTAGGCCCATGTCCTTGGGAGAGCCGGTACCACCCTCCAGAAACATGGTGCTGAGGTTGAAGCAGCTAGGGGCATAGCCGCCATCACAGGCCCTTGTATAATAGTCTCTGGCCTTCCCCAGATCAGGCTCGCCATCATCGTTGACCTGTCCATCATGTGCCAAGAGACCAACATTGTGACATGCCTCCACAGACTTCTTTCCAGGCTTCTCACATGCCATCAGAAAGCATTTGGAAGCAGCTTTCAAGTCCTGGGTCAGTCCGCCTGGGAGGAAGAAAAAGAAAAGCAAAAAAAAAGAAAAAAGAAAAAAGAATCAAAGCCAGAGCAGAACCTGGAATGTCTCAGGCCAAAGATAGGGAACAATTCCTAACTAAAGTTCACACCCCTTGATTTAAAGGCAGCACGAAGGGAAGGTGGACTAGTATAGTTCACAGACCTTCCAGCTTTTTTAGCCATGGAAACTTTTTTTTTCAAATGAGACCTTATGAGGCAGACCAAACAGGTAAAGAAGGCAGAAAGTAGAAATGATAATAGCTACCTTATAGGGTTACAGCAAGAACATGGTATCTTATAAGCACTTTATTATATGTTTTTTTAAAGATTTTATTTATTTCTAGAGAGAGGGAAAGGAAGGGAGAAAGGGTGAGAAACATCAATGTGTGGTTGCCTTCTGCATGCCCCAATTGGGGACCTGGCCTGCTACCCAAGCATGTGCTCTGACTGGAAATCGAACCAGTGATCCTTTGGTTTGCAGGCTGGCACTCAATTCACTGAGCCACACTGGCCAGGGCTCATCTTCATTTTAAAAGAAATTTTTGCTAAAATAAAATTCAAATTTGACAGTTATTTTCTTTCAGCATTTAAAAGATATTGTTCTTTTGGCTTATGTTCTCATAAATCTTCTGGCTTAAGCTGCTCCTGAAAAGAAGTCAGTGGTTGTTTTCTCACCATGGTTCCCCTCAATATAATTTTCTCTGTTTTTCTTTCTTTTTAAGTCTTCACCTAAGGATATGCTTTTATTGATTTTATAGGGAGAGAATGGGGGAGAGAGAAAAAAATCTATTGGTTGCCTCTTGTATGCACCCTGACCAGGGATTGAACCTGCAGCCTAGGTTATGTGCCCTGAACAGGAATCGAACCTGAAACCTTTTGGTGTACAGGACAACAGTCAACCAACTGAACCACCCAGTCAAGGCTAGAAACATTTTTTAATGGGCTAAATAACATTCCATCCAATGGAAGTAATATTTATTTAACTAAGCTGCTACTCTTGGCACACAGGTTTTTAAAAATATAATTAATATGCCCTGGATGGTGTAGCTCAGTGGGCTGAGCACCAGCCTGCAAACTGAAAGGCTGCTAGTTCAATTCCCAGTAAGGGCACATGCCTGGGCTGTGGGCCAGGTCCCCAGTTGGGAGCATGCGAGAGGCAACTGGTTAATAGGTCTCTAGCACTTCTCTCCCTTTCTCCCTCCCTTCCCAAAATAAATAAATAAAATCTTAAAAAATAAAAATAATTAATATAATATAGTTATATACTGCTTGTAAACTATACATTAATGACAAATTTTCCAGATAAATAAATGCTGGGGTGAGTATCTTTGCACATAAACTGTATTTGCAATTTCAGTTATTTCCCCAGGCTTTAGAGAGTAGACTTGCTAGGGTGAAGAAATGCCCCTCTGCACCAGAAGGGAAACTGATACTCCTGCTGATGCTAAACTTTCATCAAAATAGAGACTACCACAGACGCAATGTGCCATGTGAAAGCAGAAGTACTCCAGAGACTTAAAAAGACACCTTTTCTTTTCTTATCCTCACCTGAGGTTATATAGTTTTTCCATTGGTTTTAGAGAGAGAGGAAGGGAGACAGAAGAAGATAGAGAGAGAGAAACATCAATGCAAGAGAGAAGCATTGACTGGTTGCCTCCCTTACACAGGGATCCACGCATGAATTGGAGATCATATGCATCTGGACCAAGGGTCACATATGCCCAACCAGGGATCAAACCCACAACTGAGGTACGTGCCCTAACTGGGAATCGAACCCACAACCTTTTGATTACATGATGAAGTTCCAACCAACTGAGCCACACCAGCCAGGGCTAAAAAGACATCTTCTTCATTAAACTTTCACTGAACATCTTTCTAACCAGGCCTGGCTGGACACTGGGAACAAGGGATGAATGAATCATAACATCTTCAAGAAGCTCATAACCTAATGAGCAAAGAAAAGAAATAGCTGCCCATCAAAGATTATAGTCCCTATTTGTAGTGGTTTTAAAATATGCCGATGAATTCTTTGATATTTTTGCCTTCAAGGGGTGGCATTTTAAGTTCACTCCCCTTAGTGTAGACTAGACTTACTGACTCACTTCAAATAAACAGAATGTGATAGGCATGAAAAATGTGTGACGTCCCAGGGTAGGTCATTAAGGATTCACCAAAAGACACTGAGGAGACTGCAGCCAAGACAGAGGCGTAGGTAAACATGCTTTGCCCCCATACACAACTACAGCTAAAATTACAACCAGACTACAAAACAAATACCACCCAAATGTGTTAGAAAATCGAGCTGTATGGAAGTCCAACCACCAAGGATTTAAAGAAGCCACATTCATCCAGATGGGTAGGACGGGTGGAGACATGGAAACATGGAGACATGGAAACATGGAGACATGGAGACTTGGAGAACGTGGAAAGGCGCAGAGAGGCAGTAGAATAGAAGGTCCAACATTCACGTGTGGTGGATAAAAATCAGGAGGGATACCTTGGGAGCAAGCAATCCCAGCCCCAGACCAGACTTCCCAGCCCCAGGTTCCAGTGCCAAAAATGTAAGTCCCCATAATTTCTGGCTGCAAAAACCAGTAGGGGTTGGGGCAGCAGAAGAAACTGCAAGATTGTCAAGAGATTTCTATTAAAGGGCCTGCAATGGACTAAAGACTCACACAGACCCACCCCTTTGTGATTCAGCACCAGAGCAACAGCTAGAAGGGCATAAGTGGCTTATAGGGAAAAGGGGAGAAAGTAAACTGACTGGCAAGGGGGTGAGTGCCAGGGAGACAGCTTCCTCTCATGCAATCTCCACAGGCCAGGGAGTGGCATTGTGCCCTCTTTGACCCCTCCCCCACACAGAGCCACGAAGAAATGAGATAAATTGCCCTGCCCTGGTGACTACAAAAGGCTCTGCTCCACACAGTTTACAGATGTGTTTTCTACAACAGATTAAGCTACTAAGACAGGGAGTCAAAGCAGCTCTACCTAATACACAAATAAACATAGGGAGGCTGCCAAATTGAGGAGACAAAGAAATATGGCCCAAATGAAAGAACAGAACAGCCCTAGCTGGTGTGGCTCAGTGGACTGAGTGCCAGCCTACAAACTAAAGGGTTGCTGGTTTGATTCCCAGTCAGGGCACATGCCTGGGTTGTGGGCCAGGTCCCCAGTGGGGGGCACATGAGAGACAACTACATATTGATGTTTTTGTCCCTCTTTCTCCCTACCTTCCTCTCTCTTAAAAAACAAACAAACAACAAAAACAAAACAACAACAGTAACAGAACAACACTCCAGAAAAAGAACTAAACAAAATGGAGAAAAGCAACCTATTAGATGCATAGTTTAAAACACTGGTTAACAGGATGCTCCAGGAACTCACTGGGTACTGAAACAGCATAAAAAATGCCCAGGCAGAAATGAAGGCCATAAAGAAAAACCTACAGGAAACCAACAATGGAGGGGATGAAGCCAAAATTCAAATCAATAATTTGAACATAAGAAAAAAGAAAAAAAGCACTCAATCAGAACTGAAAGAAGAAAAAATAATTAAAAAAAAAAGAGAGAGAGAGAGAACAGAATAAGGAGCCTCTGGGACATCTCCAAATGTAACAACAGCTGAATCATAAGGGTGCCAGAAGGGGACGAGCAAGAAATTGAAAATTTATATGAAAAAAAAGAAAGAAAAAGTTCCCTAATTCGGTGAAGGAAATAGACATATAAGTCCAGGAAACACAGAAAGTCCCAAACAAGTTGGACCCAAAGAGGACCACACCAAGACACATCATATATAAAATGTTTGGACATCATATATAAAATGTTTGGTTAAAGATAAAGAAAAAAATCTTAAAAGCAGCAAGAGAAAAGAAGATACTTACATATAAAGGAGTTCCCATAAGACTGTCACTGATTTCTCAAAAGAAACTTTGCAGGCTAGAAGGGACTGGCAGGAAGTATTCAAAGTGATGAAAAGCAAGGACCTACAACCAAGATTACTCTATCCAGCAAAGCTATCATTTAGAATGGAAGGGCAGATAAAGTGCTTACCAGACAAGGTAAAACTCAAAGAGTTCATCATCACCAAGACATTATTATATGAAATATCAGAGGGAACCATATAAGAAAAAGAAGATCCAAACTATGAACATTAAAATGGCAACAAATACACAATTACCACCAACTGAATCAAAAAACAAACTAAGCAAACAAGCAGAACAGGAACAGAATCATAGATATGGAGATCATTTGGAGGGTTATTGGCTGAGAGGGGGGAAGGGGAGAATGGGGGAGAAAGTGCAGGGATTAGGAAGTACAAATTAGCCCTGGCTGGTGTTGTCTCTGTGGATTGAGTGATAGCCTGTGAAGCAAGGGATCGCTGGTTCAATTCCCAGTCAGGGCACATGCCAGGGTTGCGGGCCAGATCCCCAGTAGGGGGTGCATGAGAGACAATCACATATTGCTATTTTTCTCTCTCTCTTTCTATCTCTCTTCCCCTCTAAAAATAAGTAAACAAAATCTTTTTTTAAAAAGTACATATTAGTATGTACAAAACAGGGATGTTAAGAACAGGATAGGTAATGGAGTAGTCAAAGAACTTATATGCATGACCCATGGACATGAACTAAAGGAGGGGACTGCTGGAGGGAATGGGGGTACTGGGTAGAGGGGGGCAAAAGGGGAGAAGATTGGGACAACTCTAATACCATAATCAATAAAATATATATTTTTAAAAAGACAGTGAGGATTCCTTCTTGCTCTCGGACCACTCCCTCTGGAGGCAGCCAGATGCCATAGCATGAGGACACATAGAGAGAGAAGGGCACATGTCACAAAGAGAAAGATCCATGTCACAAAGAACTGAGGTCTCCTGATAACAGGTGTCAAGGAACAGAAAGAAGTCTTTACCAACAGCCACAGGAGGTAAGTCATCTTTAAACTGGAAACTCCAGTTCCAGTCAAGCCTTCAAATGACTACAGCCCTAGCTTCCTGGCTAATGTCTGCAAAATCATGAGACCCTGAGGCACACAGCTAAGCCAATGTCCAAATTCCTGGCCCACAGAAACTTTGTGAAATAAGTTTGCTGGGATAATTTGCTATTTAGCAATAGATAACTTAAACACTACTCCAGTGACAATTGCAGTTAGGGCACAGGAAGAAAAAGACAGATGGAAAGAAATGAATTACTACTGATCCCTTTCTCTGGGCCAGGCATGTGCTGATGCCTTTACCTACATTATCCTATTTAATCCTCACAACCATCCAAAGAAGCAAATACTAATTGTTTTCTACATCCTAAAGGCACAGAGTTAAAGTGATGGGCACTACTTGCAAACAGCATTTCCTAAGACTCCCTGCCTTAAAAGGCTGTAATCTTCCCCTGATCACCTTTCCAAATCTTCCTACAATGTTCTTCCCCAAAGACTGTGAGGACCCTTCCACAAAGAAGGCTCAATACAAGGTCAGCACTAATATCAACGACAAGGACCAAAGAAAGGAGGCCCTTCTTACCTTTCCCAGTCACGTAATAGGCCCCCAGTTTGTAGCAGCTATTACTGTGTTTATTCTCTTCACAGTTGAACTTCAAGACCTTGGCAGCCTCATCAAAATTCTTCTGGATCCCTTCCAAATAGTCCACCAGCCGGTAACAACCTGTGAAAAGAGGACAAGAGCTGTTCTTCTTGTCTGCTCAGCAGTGGAGAGGGTCCAGGTATGGTTGGCCAGATGTGTCTTTCATTTAGGAGCAGCCTCTGTTCTCCTGAGTTGTAACAAGGTATGCAGGTGGTGTACAGCCATTCCTACAAATGGCACTGTCTGCTCTTAGGCAGGGACTGAGCAATATGAGGCCTGGGGAGACCTTGGCTCCTGCACTGACTCCTCCTCACATCAACCCTTTGCTCCCTGTCAGCCAGGCCAGCACAAAGATGCAGTGGCTTTGAAATTCTGCTGGCTTTAGAACATCTTAGGAAGTTCAGCAGTCAGACACAGAAAACCAAAAGGGTCCATGAACTAGTCTCTGTAGCAGCAAGAAAGGGGTGCTTCCATGACTGCATCTTACTACTCCCTCAGCCAGGCTGGGAACATGAAGCCTGAAAACAGTAGGAACAGCAGCTACCAAAAGGAGTTGGAAATAGTACTCTCTCTCCTTGGCGGTCTCTGGCCCCAGCAAGCCTCTCTGTAACATCTCTCCCCTCTGTCTCTTCTTCATTCCCAATAACACTTATCTCTCATTAATTTTCACTCCACTATATTGGAGCATCTATGTTCATTTATGTACCAAAAGCTGGGAATACAGTCACTTGCCCTCCTAAAAATTACATTCTAGAGGAGTAAGCGCAATAATTAAGTACATAGTCGAATAAGTTGTATTCTAAAAGTAATAAATGGAGTTCCAGCCAAGATGGAGGCGTAGGTAGGAACCCTTCGCTTCCTTGCACAACCAAAAGGAGGATGACAACCAATCTAAAATCAGTAAATAATCAGAAGTGCCAGAAAATCAAACTGCATGGGACTCTGACAACTGAGGAATTAAAGAAACAGTCAACCAGAACAACCAGACCAGTAAGAACCCAAGGCAAGAATTGTGTGGGCGGGGCCAGCTGAGAGAAACCTGGGCAAGGCTGGCGAGCAGGCTGGCAGGGCTGGCTGAATGGGAAACTGAGACTCAGAGCGGACTGTCAGAGCTGACCACGATTGCCACGGTGGGAGGAAACTCCCAGTCTCACACGACAAAGTGCACTAGAGCCAAGCAGACGAGCTGCATTGTTCCCTCTCTGGCCCCTCCCCCACAGGCAACACCACAGGGCAGCAAAAAGGATTGCCCTGACCCAAGAATACCTAAGGTCCCGCCCTCTCACAGCTTAACAGGTGCCCCCAGACAAAGAAATACGGCCCAAATGAAAGAACAGAGCAAAACTTCAGAAAGAGGGCTAAGCGATGAGGAGATAGCAAACCTATCTGATGGAGAGTTCAAAGCCCTGGTAATCAAAATGCTCACAGAATGGACTGAACTTGGTCAAAAAATGAAAGAACAAATGAAAGATGCCCAAAATGAAATAAAGCAAAATATTCAGGGTACCAACAGTGACAGGAAGGAAATCAGGACTAAAAGCAACGGTTTGGAACAAAAGGAAGAAGTAAACATCCAACTGGAACAGAATGAAGAAATAAAAATTAAAAAAAAAAAAAATGAAGAGAGACTTAGGAACCTCTGGGACAACCCGAAACGTTCCAAAATCCAAATTATAGGGGTGCCAGAAGGAGAAGAGCAACAGCAAGAAATTGAAACTTCCCCAATCTGGAGAAGCAAACAGACTTCCAGGAAGTTCAGGAAGCCCAGAGAGTCCCAAAGAAGTTGGACCCAAAGAGGAACACACCAAGGAACATCATCATTAGGTTACCCAATAGTAAAGATAAAGAGAGATTTTAAAAGAATCAAGAGGAAAGGAGAGAGTTACCTACAAAGGAGTGCCCATAAGACTATTAGCTGATTTCTCAAAAGAAACCGTGCAGGCAAGAAGGGGCTGGAAAGAAGTATTTGAAGTCATGAAAGGCAAGAACCTACATCCAAGATTACTCTATCCAGCCAAACTATCATTTAGATGCAGATAAAGTGCTTTCCAGACAAGGTCAAGTTAAAGGAGTCCATGATCACCAAGCCCTTATTATATGAAATGTTAAAGGGACTTATCTAAGAATAAGAAGATCAAAACTATGAACAGGAAAATGACAAATTCACAACTATCAACAAATGAACCTAAAAATACAACAAAAACAGAAACTAAGCAAACAACTAGAACAGGAACAGAATCAGAGAAATGGACAATACATGGAAGGTTTTCAGTGGGAAGGGGAAGGGAGGAATAGCAGGGAAAGGTACAGTGAAGAAGAAGCATAATTGGTAGGTAAAAAATAGACGGGGAGCCATCAAAAATGATATAGGAAACAGAGAACTCAAAAGAACTTAGTTGTACAACCCATGGATGTGAACTAAGGTGGGGGTAATACTGGAGGGTTGGGGGGGGTGTAGGGCAGAGGAGGGATAAAGGGGGAAAAATTGGGAAAACTGTAATAGCATAATCAATGAAATATATTTAAAAAATAAAGTAACTGTTGATAAAAAAGTAATAAATGTCACATCTGAAATAAAACAGTATTATAACATCTTGTTGTGCATGCTGGGGAAGTCTAACAGACTGGGTTACCAGGGAAGGCCTGTTCCTTCTGACCAACCCCAGAAATCTTTCCCAACCTTCCTGCTCCTCAGTGACTCCAATTCTGTGAATTCTTTCTAAACTCGGGACATGAACCAGCCCTCAGAGAGCAACCTGGGTTCTTGTGAAGCTATTATGCTGCAGAGCAACTCTGTGTAGTTGGTTAGCATCAAAATGGAGCTGTATCATGCTCTGGAAACTAGGTTGCAAGCTATTATGAAGTATGACCAGTGCCATTTTTCTCCTTTGTAAAGTAGGAAAAACTGACTGCTCTGGGTGGCCCCTTCTGGACACCAACATCCACCCCACTCTCAAGTCAACTCAATGTTCCCAGAGCACACATGGTGCATTCATGTCTCAGGTCCTTTCCTGGGTGAATGTACCTTCCTGCATTTCTCCTTCCCACCCAGCCTCCAGGCTGAAACCCGCGGGGCATTCCCCCACCGCGAGCCCGCAGAGACCTTGTGGAAACCCAACTCTCCCTAACACACACAAGGTCGTCTGTGTCCCACAGACTCCATCCGGATGTGTCCCCAGCCCGTGACCATTTCCAGAGTCCCTCAGAGGTCGCTCAGGTGACCGGTGAGGCCCCTGGCCCCCTCCTCCATGATCTCCCACGTGCTCCCAGGGCGGGGGGGAGGCGGCGGGCCGAGTCCTCACGCTCACATCCAGGTCCTTCTCTTGGTACCTTCCTACATTCACCCAGGAAAGCTGTCACTTCCACCTGGCACAGAACTCCCTTACCTTATTCAAGACTTGTTCAAATGCCATTTTTTCAATGATTCCCCGACCACTTAATTTAAAATTCCCTCCTGCCCTGGCTGGAGTGGCTCAGTGGATTGTGCGCCAACCTGCACACCTGTGATCCCAAAGGTCGCTGGCTGGATTCCCAGTCAAGGCACATGCCTGGATTGCGGGGCCAGGTGGGTGCTAGCTAGGTAGGTGCCCTGACCTGGAGTCAAACTCCCAGTAGGGGGCATGCAAGAGGCAATCGATGTATCTCTCCTGCTCTTTCTCCCTCTGTCTATAATAGATAAATAAATCTTTAAAAAGTAAAATAAAATTGACCTCGTGAACTCCTGACACTTCTCAGTTTTTTCCTATTGCACTTTTCTTTAAAAAAATGTTTATATATATAGAGAGAGAGAGGGAGGGGGGAGAAAGATGGAGAGACACTGAGAAACAGAAATACCGATATGAGAAACAGCAACTGGTTACCTCCCATATGCCCCTGACTGGGAGGATTGGGGGAACGAACCCACAACCTAGGTAGGTGCCCTGACCTGGAGTCAAACTCCCAACCCTTTGGTGCAGGGGACACCACACCCCAACCAACTGGGCCACACCAGCCATGGCTGTACTTATTATTTTCTAACACATTATTTCTCTTATTTCCTTATGTTTAGTGCCCAATTCACCTCGCTGGAATGAAAGCTCCAAGAGGACAGGAAATTTTATCTGTTCACTGATGTATCCCCACGTCCCTCTCCCCTAGGTACTCAGGTATTTCTCCTTCCCGCCCAGCCTCCAGACTGAAACCCGCGGAGCATTCCTGCACCGCGAGCCCGGAGAGACCTTGTGGAAACCCAACTCTCCCTAACACACACAAGGTCGTCTGTGTCCCACAGACTCCGTCCGGACGTGTCCCCGACCCGTGACCGTTTCCAGAGTCCCTCAGAAGTCGCCCTCGTGACCCGTCCAGCCCCCCCCCCCCGCGCCCTCCTCCTTGATCTCCCACGTGCTCCCAGGGCGCCCGGGGCGCTCACCATCCGGGTCCTTCTCTTGGTAGCACTGATAGTTGCATTCCACCTTCAGATTCTCCAGAAACGACTTCACCTGTTCCTCGTCCTGAAAGTCCACCAGGCCAGCCATGGCTCTTGCTCTCCCAAGCCGGATTACCCAAGTCTCACCCACCAACTCCCCGCCGGAGTCCCGCCCATGGTCACGTGAGCCAATGAAGAGGCGGAGCCTGGGCCCGGGAGCCGGAGGTCAGCACTCACGAGCGCCTTCTAGGAGAGTCGACTACGCAAGCCCGGGCTTGCCCCTAATCCTCATGCTGTTAAAGCCTTTGGCGGTCAAATCTTTTCCTCTGTTCTGCCATTTCAAAGGCTGATGGTAGCCTTTCTGTAGCACTTCATCTGTGCCAGCTTTGTGGCCTTAAATGATATTTCTGCCTGTAGTCTTTTATCCCTTCAACTTTCTAAGTGCCCACTGTGTGCCTCACCAAGTGTGTCCTTCTAGTAATTCACAGCTATGAGAATGGTCCCTGCCTTTAACGAGCTTGCAGTTTAGTAGGAAAACGTTTGTTTGTTTGTTTGTTTATTCAACAAGCAATTTGGGCACTTCCTAAGTGCCAGATACAAGTCTGTACTACTGCAAGAAGTCTGATTCATTTCTATATTCCTGCCAGACCCAACCCCTGCTCCCAACATGAATTACCTAAGGAATGATGGCTGTGCAAGGTAATAACTGGAACACCGTAGCTGTAGAGGTTGTACAAATAATATTGTTATAATAGCTAATGTTTAAACGGCTGAACTTTTTTCCACATTCTATTCTAAGAGCACGGTACAAATTCCCATTTAATTCTCACTATGATACTCCTGGTGATGCTCTGGGGTAGGTATTATTACATTCCCATTCTGCAGATGAAGAAACGGAGGTACACAAAGGTTAAGTAACTTGTCCAAGATCACACAGGAAGTGTGAGTTGTTGTGCAGTAAATATTTTTTTAAATAAAAGAATGGTTGAGTTACAAGAGGAATGTGTCAAGGAGATAGGGGAGAGGAAAGGAAATTCACCTGCTTTTTAATTTGTTCTCCTGCTCAGAATCATCAGCGTCATAAAGCCCAGACTAAAAGGTCTCCAAAGACAGTTCCCATTAATCTTTGAGTCCCAGCCAGTCCTAGTCTAGAGTCCTCACGTGGAGTTCAATCCATGGTTTCCCATTTCCCCTGTATCACCTACAACAATGCTTCCCAAATATCTATCCCTAAGGGTGTCAGAGAGTTTAGGCTTCCAAACACTTCCTCATTGGGAAACAGCTTACTGCAACTGGGAAATGTCTTTGAAATCTCAGGTTTAATTTTAAAATCCATGATATTACATCCAATTTCACAATACTTTTTTTTTTTTTTTATTCCAGAGAGAGAGGAAGAGAGAGAAACATTAGTGTGAAAGAGAAACATTGACTGGTTAACTCCGGCACACACCCCAACCAAGACTGAACCTGCAACCTAGGCATGTGCCCTGACCGGGAATCAAACTCGCTACATTTCAGTTAATGGGAGACCCTCCAACCAACTGGGCCACATCAGCCAGGGCTCTGTAATACATCTTTCATAGAAAAACACAAGATTGCTTTTTCCCCAAGCCCTTGAAATTCCAGGTGATATGCCACATCACCTGTGGTTTCTCATACCCTGACCACATTGGGAGGTCATTCAGTATACATGCCCCAGGTGGGGAAGCCCTGACCTTGGATTTTGAGCCCACCTTACTTAGCTGGCCTTTGAGGCCATGTACAATCTGATTCTAACCTCATTTCCTGCCTCTCTTCCCCCACTCCCCACCTGACCTTCTATTCACTGAATAGTTCCCAGGTTTGCTGCTCTTCATGTGTGGACCACCCTTCTCTGCCCAAATCAGAGATTCTCTCCCCTGTAAAATCTTCCAAGACACAACAACTGCACACCCCTAAAGTAGATTTTGATGCTCCCATTTCAGTGTTTCACACCACTTGGATTATTCTGTTGTAGTAGGAAAGGACTGGCTTTGGAGGGCAGACAGATCATAGTCAGAATCCATGTTCCATGTTTACTAAATTGTGACCTTGAACCAGTCACATTTGTGACCCTGATTCCTTTTCTGTACATGAGATCCCTTGTATGGCTGTCAGTGGGACTAAAAGTTCATGTATGTGATGTGTTTAACAGAGTACACGGCTCAAATTATTTCTTGTCATACTCATAATGGTTATAATGCTTAAAAATCTGTGTCCCCCACAAGACTGTGAGCTCTATGTCCCTTGTGCTGGTGACAGCCAAGAATAGAGCACAGTTTGGTGAGGGTGATATAGGTAACTAAGGTCAGGGACAGGCCACAAATATTATTTCCATTAATCCTATTTGCTAAATTGAAATACACTGAAATGAGAATACCTGAGCAGTAGAGGGAGACAGAGAGTTATGGAAAAAATGGAAGAGAAGCTAAGCCAAGTAGGAAATCACATATTTCTAAGGAAATTTAAGGTCATTACAAAGACAGCATCTTTTCTTAGTCCTGGCCTTATTATGTAGGTTTATTTTCCCTATTCTTATAAATTTTCTCATTTACTTTTTAAACTTATTTTTTAATATATGAATATTCATATGAGTATTCAAGTATATATTCATTTGAAACTTATGAATATATACTTATTGTAAATTAATATCATGTTTTCAGTCTAATAACCCTTTTTGATAAGCATGATGCAGCTTGTATACACTTTTTAGACTGTTGCAGGGAAGTGGAGGGTCAAAAGTGTTATTTGGAGGGTCCAAAGGAGTTATTTGGAGTTTTGGGGCACACAAAGGAGTGTGCCCAAAAACACACAATGAGAAGCTCCAGAGAAACCAGGCCTCTTGGTATCTTAGAGTTCAGCAGTCCACCCCAAATCCTGAAGGAGACGAAGTCAAGAGCATCACAGCACTCACCTCCTGACTCCAGACATAGATTCAACTAATATTAATTGATCTCTAATTAGTACTTTAGTACTTTATCTCATTTATTCTTCACAGCATTATTCTTCATTCATTCAACAAACACTTCCTGGATGCTAAATAATGATTAGGGCTTAAGGGATCCAAAATTGAAAAATGCAAAGTTTCAACAAGAACATATTTTTCCTTAGAAGAGGAAAAGCACTGGTAAATAAACAAGATGAGATGCTCCCCCAATGATAAAAGGAAGGCAAATTAGAAATGGTGTGGTATCATTTTTCATTTTGTAGGTTAACAAAGATTGTTTATGAAGAGGCTGGGAAACCAGCATTCCCATACACTGTTGGTGAGAATATATGTTGATGCTTCATCTTTGGAGAGAAATTTGGTAATATTTATTAACATTTAAAATGTGCGTATATACCCTGGCTGGTGTAGCTCAGTGGATTGAGCATGGGCCTTTGAAGCAAAGGGTCACCAGTTTGATTACCAATCAGGGCATATGCCCAGGTTGTGGGCCAGGCCCCCAGTAGGGGGTGTGTGAGAGGCAATCACACGTTGTTTCTCACCCTCTCTTTCTCCTTCCCTTCCCCTCTCTGTAAAAATAAAATAAATAAAATCTTAAAATAAAATGTGTGTATATATTTGGGGTGCAGTGGGAGAAAATATTTGCAAACCTTCCCTCTCACAGTGGGTTTGTACATAGAGAACTCCTACAACTCAACAATAAAAAGACAATGTTTAAAAAATGGGCAATATATTTGAGTAGACATTTTACCAAAGAAGATGTATGAATAGGCAACAAGCACACAAAAATATACCCAGCATGGTAAAACACAAATATGTTTCCACAATGACATACCAGTACACAGCTACTAGAATGGCTATAATCAACAACAAACAATACCAAGTGTTGATGAGGATGTAAAAAAACTGGAGCCCTTATATGTTTCTGGTTAGAATGCAAAATGCTGCAGCCACTTTGCATTTTTTAAAACAGATTTTATTTATTTATTTTTTAGAGAGGGGAAGGGAGAAAGAGAAGGAGAGAAACATCAATGTGTGGTTGCCTCTTGTGTATCCCCTACTGGGAACCTGGCCCGCAACCCAGGCATGTGCCCTAATGGGAAACTGAACCGGCGTCCCTTTGGTTCACAGGCCCGTGCTCAATCCACTGAGCTACATCAGCCAGGGCACCACTTGCGCTTTTATTTGTTTGATTTATTTTATTTTAGTGAGATCACTTAACATGTCTATCTTGACAATAGATTTTTAAGTGTACAATATATTATTGTTGAATATAGGTACAATGTACAGTGTTACACATTTCTAGAGTTTATTGTACAGATATCTAGAGTTTACTGATCTTGCTTAACTGAAACTAAAGCCCTTGATTAGTAACTCCTTTGCCCCACCCAGGCCCAGCAACCATCATTCCATTCTCTGAGTCTATGAATTTGACTATTTTAGATATCTCATATAAATGGAATTATGCAGTATTTGTCATTCTGTAATAAGCTCATTTCACTTAGAATAATTTCATCAAGGTTCATCCAAGTTGTACCATACTGCAGAATTTGCTTCCTTTTTGAGGCTGAATAGTATTCCAATGTATGCATGTATACCACATTTTCTTTGTCCATTCACCTGTCAGTGGACATTTAGGTTGTCCCACATCTTGATGCCTGTGAATAGGGCTTCAGTGAATGTGTGGATGCTAATATCTCTTCACAATGCTGATTTCATTTCTTTTGGATAAATATCCAGAGGTGGGATTGATGGACCATGCGTTAACTCTATTTTTAATTTCTGAGGAACATCCATACTGTTTTCCACAGCTGTACCATTTTGCATTCCTGTCAACAGGGTGCAAGGATTCCAATTTCTGCATAGCCTCAGTGACATTTGTCTTTTGATTTTTTTCAAAAGGCCAGCACTCAATCAATCCACTGAGCCACACCAGTCGGGGCTATCTTTATTTTTATAGTAATCATATATTACTTTTGTAAGTGTTTTTTAAAGACATATTTTCTTCCCCAGACATGTTCACTGTCTTGTGGGTCTTTTCAGGTATTAATATCTCCATTTTATAAACAAGGTTCAGAGGAGTAAAGTGATTTCTTAAGGGTCACACGGCCCAGCAAGCCTCCCCCAAAGATTACATATCTGAGAGCAGACAGGATTCGCCCATTGGGGAAAAACAAGATCAATCACATTTGCTGTGATGT